CTGAAACAACTTGTGACTGACCCATGGTCACTCCAGCAGCTGTATGTGGAGGGGTGGGGAATCAAACCCGGTTATCCCAGATTAGAGTCCGCGCTCCTAACCACTACACCAAACTGGCTCTGTAGGAGACAGTCCTAAGGATCCTGCAAGGTCCTAGGGGCCTCTGGGGAGTGATCTTCCTTTTCCGGAAGATGCTGCAGAGACCACATCGGCAACCCTCTTTGTTATGTACGCGAACCACCACTAGGGGTCCACGGCTAAAGCAGGAGCTTGGTCCCCAAACACAAAGGGGACCTAGGATCCTGGTCCACCTCGAGTCCACCAATAGCACCCTTGGCGGGAAATTCAAACCCTCCTATGGGAACATAGGTGTACCGGGTGGAGTATATATAGTTGGCCTTGCAGAGCCGTTTGTTCAGTCTTGTTGTGAAGTACAATGAACGCGTCTGAACGCATGTCGTCATCCGAGTCCTCTATGCGTCGAACCCAGTACTTTTCACTCTTTGATGTCTTTTCGCCCTACCGCTGAGGCTTAAAGAAGTTCTTCAAAAGTCATGCTCTTCACTATCCTCCAGGGGGCAGGAGGGTGTGTGCTCAGCATGGGGGGGGGCACTTAGGGAAGGGAACGCCATTTGGACCCCACCCAAAAAACAACAACAGAACTTAGTCCTGGCATGTCAGAAGATGCCTCTATCATTGAGCTGAATGAGACGGCCCTTGTGGGATGAGGAATAATCTCCCCTCCCCATTGCCTGATCGCCGGGAGTGTTGCTATGGTTTTATCCTTAATGGATATTTACTTTTAGCCAGCAGAGCACCCATTTATATTTTTAAAGATCTGCAAAGAGCAATAATCTTATTTATATAGCATTGTACACTGACAATAGATGAAAACTTAAAAGTTTAAAAACTTAAAATTTTTCATTTTTGGTAGGAAAAGCTCTGCACTATTCTTCATCAAGTCACGCTTTGCATAGTTCACTTTGTAGTTCAGCCCGGGAAGACATTCGGATCCATTAGAAACTCCTGCATCTGAAACGTCACTAACTTGGAGTGCTGAAATGTCTCCGAATGGAAATTGAAAAAAATTCTAAGTGGATGTGGGTTCATCGTCCCTTTTCATTTTCTAATGTACATTTCAAACTTGTTGTTGTTTTCCCCCTAAAACCTCCTAAAGAACAAACCGAGAGTATAAAACACTTAAGAGCGTTGTTTTTATTTGAATGGCCCATTTCCATGGAAGATAAAGCCTATCTATTGATTAATAAATGGTTATTAGACCTGAAGTACAGGCAGAGTTGATGGACTGAATCATTCACCGTTCATTAGTGGCCGCATCCATTTCGTCCTCTTCCATTTCCCGTTGGGACTAAAACCTTTCCGAGATGCCAGTAGCGACATTCTCATTCGCAGCAATGACAGGCTACAGAAGAAATGGGATGCTGATGAACACAGTGTAGAACTCGAGGTTACGGCTTAGAACGATTATATCTTTGTCCGACCAACAAAATATGGGCCAGAATCCAAATCACTAGAAACTTGTAGGGTTTCTGGATGTTAAAAAAATGTCTGACACAACTAAGTCTGGTTTGGACAATCAGAGAACAGATTGGTTTCTGCTGTGGCCACTTATGGGCACTTCCTGTTTTGTTGCGCATCCGCGCATGAGTGCAGGGTTCTGATATGGCATGGGCACATGAAATGCAACAAAAAACAGTATTCAGGTTACAATTAGAATGTCACGGTTTCATTAGGAAGATGCTGAAATCGGGCAAAGAAGGCAAGGAGTCCATCTGTACATAGAGAGACACATGAATACATGAATCTGCCTTACACAGAATCGGACCCTTGATCCATCAAAGTCAGTATTGTCAACTCAGACTGGCAGCAATTCTCCAGGGTCTCAGAGAGAGGTCATCCACATCACCTACTGCCTGGTCCCTTCATGAGTCCCTTTCCACCCACCAACTTACATGTCTCTAGGGTTGCCTGGTTTTACCTTCCTGCCGATGGATGGGAGGGGGACTTCGCTCCTCTAAAAAATGTAGGGATGCAAGTGAAACTTCTGTCAGCACTGTAGAGGCAGTGAAACTAATTTTCAATATGGTTAGCAAACTCCCTCATGGAGGTTCCAGACATCCCTAAGGAAGCCTGTTTCAGCCCTCTTCTTCCCCACTCAGCGTTCCCATTTCCGGCTTCCTTACTGGATTGTATTTAGATAGATGGTGATGGTGATGATCAGGCATGTCCAACTTCGAACAGGTAGAAGAAGAAGAAGAAGAAGAGATTGGATTTATACCCCGCCCTTCACTTGGAGTCTCAGAGCGGCTTACAAACTCCTTTCCCTTCCCCTCCCGGCCAAAAGTGCCGGTGATCTACCACCATGAAAATAAAGTTTCAAATTAGTTTCAACCCACTAAAGTTGGGTTCCACCGCCCCCCCCTATTTATAATGCACCTTCTGTCACCTTCTGCACCAATAATCGAACACCACCAAACAATCATAAAAAACCCCAAACACCTGTCCAGCAAACCAGGAGACCAAGTGGGGCTGGAGATCTACCTCTGACCCCTCCACAATCTACTGGTAGATTGTGATCTACCTGTTGGACATACCTGGTGATGGTGATGATAGAGCAAATTTAGAGTCCAGTGGCACCTTTAAGACCAACAAAGGTTTATTCAAGGTATGAGTTTTGTGTGCAACATGCATACCTTAAATACCTTTGTTGGCCTTAAAAGTGCCACTGGACTCTAAATTTGTTCTACTGCTTCAGGCCAACTCGGGTGACTACCTGGATGGATGGATGGATGGATGGACAGACCTTAGATCAGACAAACAGATGATAGATAGGTGGATGATAGATAGATAGATAGATAGATAGATAGATAGACAGACAGACAGACAGACAGACAGACAGACAGACAGACAGACAGACAGACAGACAGACAGACAGACAGACAGACAGACAGACAGACAGACAGACAGACAGACAGACAGACAGACAGACAGACAGACAGACAGACAGACAGACAGACAGACAGACAGACAGACAGACAGACAGACAGACAGACAGACAGACAGACAGACAGACAGACAGACAGACAGACAGACAGACAGACAGACAGACAGACAGACAGACAGACAGACAGACAGACAGACAGACAGACAGACAGACAGACAGACAGGCAGGCAGGCAGGCAGGCGGACGGACGGACGGACGGACGGACGGATGGACCTTAGATCAGACAGACAGACAGAAAGGTTGTAGTAGGAACTCCTTTGCATATTAGGCGACAAACCCCTAATGTAGCCAATTCTCCAAGACCTTACAGAGCTCTTCTTACAGGGGCTACTGTAAGCTCTTGGAGGATTGGCTACATTAGGGGTGTGTTGCCTAATATGCAAAGGAGTTCCTGCTACAAAAAGAGCCCTGGACCGTATAGCTATACCTTAGATAAATACAATCTAGCAACGAAGCCGGAAATTGGAATTAGTGTGTGTGTTTCTTTATACTCCAACTTTTCCTGAGTTTGAATCTGCTATTTTTTCCCCCAAGATTGGTATTTCTGTTATTTTTTCCCCCAAGATTGGTATTTCTGTTATTTTGATGTCTGGAAGGAGCAGGTTCATTCCAGATAGCTAAACAAGATTCTATAGATCCATGTTCTGCCGAAATGACAAATGCGGAGTCAAGATTCTATCAGACATATTGAGCTGGCGGTTTTGATTTCGTTTGTTTTATATTGAAAGATCAAAATCTGGACATCTTGGGCCTGTGTCGGGGATGGAGTATCATCAGTGGGAACGGGCTGGGGGAAAGGAGGCGAGATTGCCAAGCAAACAGCTAAACCTTTCTGCCATTGGTGATTTGCGTATTCCAAGTGGACTCTCCGGCTGCCTTTGTTCAAGTCAATGGGCGCCTCCGATTTATTGGCCTTAAGTTTCTTGCCTTTCTTGCTGTCCACTGCAATTAGCAGAAAGGCTCTTGTTGATTTCATGGAGCTTGTTGTTGTTCAGTCGCACAGTCAAGTCCGACTCTTCGCGACCCCATGGACCAGCTCCCACCAGGCCCTCCTGTCTTCCGTCGTCCTCCGGAGTTCACTTAATTTTATGTTCATTGCATTGATGACACTGTCTAACCATCTCATCCTTTGCCGTCCCCGTCTTCTTTGACCTTCAATCTTTCCCAGCATCAGGGTCTTCTCCAGGGAGTGCTCCCTTCTCATTGGGTGGCCAAAGTATTTGAGCTTCATGGAGCTTAAAGCAGTCATTTTCATGCTATGGGCCATTTTCGTTACCAACATAACCCCACCCCACCCCCGGTTCCAGTTGGTCATGCCTGCTACACATGGCGACATAACAATGATGGTGAACGACAGATGATGCTGTGAAATTAGACAAGACAAAGTCAGCAACGGGGGGGACGACAAGGCATCCAGACGCATCTGAAATACAAACATCATTTGTCAACGCAGCATGTGTCACATGTGTATGAGAACCGTCAATCATCGTTGCTGCTAGCCGTGAACATGTCACTTTCCTCTTTCAGAGAATAGATGTTGGATGGATGGATGGATTGTCCACCTGTCATACCAGTGCAGGATGGTGTCTGAATTGGCTTTTACTTAAACTTCATTGTGATGTGTTTGTGCAAGGTGTCTTGTGCGCCCTTCGTCTGGCAATTGTTGACAAATCTTTTATTCTGGGCTTGGTTAAAGATGGCTGCTTAATGGGGGTGCTGCTCTCTCTCTCTTGCTCTCTTTTAAGCTCTAAAAGCTAATTCATTATATGATCAACAATGGCTGCATATTTGGAAAAGCAAAACAGCCTGGTGTTTGGGTTCCCTTTGTGAAACCAAATTGCAGTTCAAAATGTGGAAGTACTGAAATCCCCATAGCAACCGTGCCCAAACTAGGAAGGTCTGTTTTTGTCACATTAATACTGTCTCTCAGGTTGTGGCTGAATACCCCATCCACTGCTCTCTTTGTTTCTTGCAGATACTCTGTTGACAAAGATCCAGCCAATTGGCTTGAAATTAACCCTACCAATGGCACTATCGTCACCACGAATATCCTTGACCGCGAATCTTCGTACGTCACAAACAATGTATACACGGCGTCTTTTCTGGCAATTGACAACGGTGAGTAATGGGCATTCATGAAACCAAGAGGTGGCTTGCTGATGCTAGGCCAGGAGTTATTAATCCTACGGAAGGTTCTTTGAGCGGTCTTGGGGAATCATTGCCTCCATGAGCAGGTAATCTGTTCCCATACTGAAAAAGCTGACCAGTGGGTGCATTGAGATGGCTCTTTAGATTTGCGCGAGGCACAAATGCCTCATGGATTTAAATGTAATGTCTAGACATCAACATCTGGGAAACGTCCATCTTCCATGAGCATCCCGTTTTGCCACGCTTAGGAGCTGTACCAAAAAGATACTACTCTAAATCTAGAGTGTTCCGTTCCGACGGGCCACTCGCAGACTTTCCCCCCTTCTGTTCGTTCCAGCATGCAATTAAAAATGGCGCCCGTTCAGGATGGTCTAACGTTATACCATCTCGAATGGGTGCCATTTTTAAAAAATCTTGATTCTGTGCATGCGCGAATAACCAAGGATGCAATATCATGTCTATTGTTGTTGTTGTTGTTCAGTCGCACAGTCGAGTCTGACTCTTCGCGACCCCATGGACCAGATCCCGCCAGGCCCTCCTGTCTTCCGCTGTCCTCTGAAGTTTGCTCAATTTCATGTTCGTTGCAACGATGACACTGTCTAACCTTCTCATCCTTTGCCGTCCCCATCTTCTTTGACTTTCAATCTTTCCCAGCATCAGGGTCTTCTCCAGTGTGTGCTCCCTTCTCATTTGGTGGCCAAAGTATTTGAGCTTCAGTTTCATTATCTGGCCTTCCAGGGAACAGTCAGGGTTGATCATGTCTATGCACATGCACAAACTTTTGTTTTTTTAAAAAAGCCACCCCGCGCGCCTCATTCAATGGACACCGTCTAGACAATCCGCAGCGGAAGCAGCGCGCGGTAAGGCGATTCCCCCGGGGGATATCTGGTCATGCGAGGATGGATTAAAAAGATCGGGATCAAATTTGAGCCGGCATAATGGTGGGATGAGCTGTCCGTCTGAATGCACCCCCAGTTACAGGTCTTAAGTCTGATGGACATACACTGAGAATCCAGCACTGAGAAACTTCTGCCTATGTCAAGGGTCCCCAACATTTTTTGAACCTTTGGAATCCTGACACAGGGTGGTGGGCTCCACCACAAAATGGCCACCATGGGAGATGGGACCAGCTACAAAATGGCTGCTGCAGAACCACACACACAAAAACTGAGGAAGACAAAGTGCAGAGTAGAAGAGAGGTAATTTCAAAAAACACAGTGGGTCAAAGGAGTGAGAGAGAAGGAAACCAACACGGTGGTTGCAGCTGCTACCAAAAAAACCTGTTATTTCAATCTGCACAACCCATCTGATCTCCAGTGGCCAGTCAGAAGTTCTGCTGTGCAGGAGCTCCACCTGGTCCCACCCATGTTCTAAAAGCACTTGGCAGGTGCAAGGAAAGGTATCAGTGGGTACCATGACATCCACAGGCTCCGTGTTGGGGAACTCCAGACTATGTCCCAGGGAGCCAATCACAAAGCAGCTGGTACTGGCTCGGGGGAGACTCCACGTGGCTCAAGTTCCAAGTAAGACAGAAACTGCAAAATCATGGCACAATTGTATCCTCACATCTTTTCCTCAAGCTTATCATATGTTTTCAGTTTTTGATGAACATGTGGGCAACCAGCCCATGTGAGGCCCCGGTCACACAGAAGGTTTTGGCCCACAGGCACCGTGTTGGGGAACTCCAGACTATGTCCTGGGGAGCCAATCACAAAGCAGCTGTTACTGGCTCGGGGGAAACTCCACGTGGCTCAAGTTCCAAGTAAGACAGAAACTGCAAAATCATGGCACACTTGTATCCTCACATCTTTTCCTCACGCTTATCATATGTTTTCGGTTTTTGATGGACATGTGGGCAACCAGCCCATGTGAGTTACACATCAATGAATTCAGTGAGACTCTTTTTTTCAGAGGAGAGGTTAGAGAGATGGTCTGAAGAAGCTAAGGCTTGGTGACACATGTGGAATTTAGGGATCTAGGATTAAAGGTAGTACACATCCTGATACCCAGTAGGCGTTCATGAAGAAGTGAGCTCAGATTCACGGGAGCTAATGCTGAAATACGTGTTCTTAGTCTTTAATGTGCTACTTGACTCAGCTGTAAGAGTCAAGACCAGCCATCTGATCCAGAGAAGAACGTCTGGCCTCCAGCTTCTTACGGATCAGGTGCACTCCAAATGAAGAGCAGCACGAAGAGAGCACCACTTTGAGAAGGGAAAGCTAACTTTCTAGTCATTCGTTTCAGAGGGTAGACATGTTGGTCTACAGTAGAAAAGCTAGATTCTAATCCAGTAGGCTCCTTAGATAGTTCTCTCTCTGAGAGCCAGTTTGGCGTAGTGGTTAGAAGTGCGGACTCTAATCTGGGAGAACCGGGTTTGCTTCTCAGTGCACTCCAAATGAAGAGCAGCACAAAGAGAGCACCACTTTGAAAAGGGAAAGCTAACTTTCTAGTCATTCATTTCAGAGGGTAGACATGTTGGTCTACAGTAGAAAAGCTAGATTCTAATCCAGTAGGCTCCTTAGATAGTTCTCTCTCTGAGAGCCAGTTTGGCGTAGTGGTTAGAAGTGCGGACTCTAATCTGGGAGAACCGGGTTTGCTTCTCCTGTCCTCCACATGCAGCTGCTGGTGTGACCTTGGGTCAGTCACAAGTTCTCTCAGAGCTGTTCTCTCAGGAGCAGTCCTTGAAAGAGCTCTCTCAGCCCCAACTACCTCACAGGGTGTCTGTTGTGGGGTGGGGAAGGGAAAGGAGATTGTAAGCCACTCTGAGACTCTGTTGGGTAGTGAAGGGTGGGGTATAAATCCATTCTTCTTCCTCCTCCTCCTCTTCCTCTTCTCCAACAAGATTTTGGGGATATGAGCTTTCAAGAGTCAAAGCTCAAATCTGATGAAGGAGCTTATGGCCTGAAAATCTTGTTGGTCTCTGCGATGCTACTGTACTTGAATCTAGCTGTTTCCAACTGTTGCTGCTATAACCAAACTCACACCAGTATTGAGGCAGCTTTGTGGGTTCAAATGAAGAGCAACCAACTTCAGGCTGACCCAAGCAACTGAACTGAGTCACTGGCTGCAACTTAAAGCCAGTTGGCTTTGAAGGAGCAGGAATTCCTTCATCCGCTAAGAGTGGAGTCCTAAACAGAGTTTCACCCTTCTGAGCCGATTGACTTCAGTTGATGGACAAGAGCTTAACTCTGTTTAGGACTGCACAGTCAATCGGTGGGATTTAAAATTATTTACGAGTATTAGATTGTGCCCAGTGCTACCAGTGAAATTATTGCATCTCCGAAGATAATAATGTAGGTGTTAGTTATCCTAAATTGTTTTAATTCTCTTGACTCTTTCACAGTTTATTCTCTATGCATAAAGAGTTGCCTCCTATTGGAATTCCACAGTTGGGCATATGTATACTAAAAAAAAGGGTAGGATCCAGTGCATTTTTTTCTCTTTTGGTTTCAGGGAGTGCAACATACCTAGTTCATATAAAGAATTCAAAACAATTTTTTTTTTACACAGAGGAGCCTTTGCTTGAGACCTACCTCAGAGAAGTAGGAGGAGTTAGAACTTGTACTGTAATGATGTATGGGAGATATTTATTGCTGTAAATCTTTAATATTTATTTAAAAATCCTCAGCACCAATAACTAACGCCCTTGTCATGCCAGATTCCGTCCCATTGAACGTGCAATGGCAGTTAGAATGAAAACACGATTAAAAAACCCTTGTTAAAATGCAATATATTACACATATTATGCAGATTAAAGTTCCTTCTGTTGCACATAACCTAAATTAAAAGGATCTTTTGAAAAACTCATTGCAAGTTACTTCGGTACCCCATTAAAAAAGGAGGAGGGGGGGAAAGGCACGGCCAAAAGGCACACAATATGAATAAGGGCCGTATATCTCTAACGTAAACAGCGAATACATTTCCCAGGAATGCAGCTGGTTTCATCGCAGCGATGGATTGTAAAAATGCTCTTCCTAAGAGGGGTAATGTCACATTTTTGTGCTGCATGACTTGGTAGAGGGAACATTTGCAGGGGGGCTGACAAGAATATGGCTTTAAAATGCAAAACAGGGGGGGGGACACCCACTTTGCGCGGGTGATTTACTTCTCTATTCATAGATGTCTTTCTCCTGCACCGCAATATCTGTGGGAGACGGTGGTTTTCTTGGGGAAAAAGAATGCCGCTCCACATATCCCTTATCCCGAACTGGACGGTATTGGAGAACGTATCTTTTTTCGTCATGTGCGTGCATGTGTTAACAATCATACCTGTGACGCAGGGGTCTTTTTGTAGCAGGAACTCCTTTGCATATTAGGCGACACACCCCCTAATGTAGCCAATTCTCCAAGAGCTTACAGAGCTCTTCTTACAGGGGCTACTGTAAGCTTTTGGAGGACTGGCTTCATTAGGGGTGTGTCACCCAGGGCTATTTTTGGGGCAGGAACGCACAGGAACGGAGTTCCGGCTGGCTTCAGAGTTGGCCACGCCCACTACAGCCAAAACCTCTGCATGCGTGGCTACAGAGGGACGGCCTGGAGAGCGACCCCCCTGGCGACTCCAAGGCAGGCCAGCCAGTGGGGCTGGAAGGATCAGGGAGGCTTTTAAATGCCTCCCCGTGCCTTCCCCAGCCTGTCCAAGGGCCGGCTTGCACGGGTGCCCCGCAGCTGCCTTCCCTTCCCTTCAAGGGGGGGGGGCTTGCCCGGGCTCCCTGCAGCTGCAGGGCAATGGAAGGATCAGGGAGGCTTTTAAATGCCTCCCCGTGCCTTCCCCAGCCTGTCCAAGGGCCGGCTTGCACGGGTGCCCCACAGCTGCCTTCCCTTCCCTTCAAGGGGGGGGGGCTTGCCCGGGCTCCCTGCAGCTGCAGGGCACCCAGGCA